AGGTTGGAAGAGACCCTTGGGATCATGGAGTCCAACCATCTCCCCTACTCTACAAAGTCCTCCCCTACACCATGTCCCTCAGCACTGCATCTAAACGGCCCCAAAACACAGCCAGGGATGGGGACTCCACCCCCTCCCTGGGCAGCCTCTTCCAACGCCCGACCACTCTTTGGGTGAAAAATTCCTTCCTAATGTTCAATCTAAACCTCCCCTGTTGGAGCTTGAAGCCGTTCCCTCTCTTTCAGTACCTGAAAGGAGCCTACAGAAGAGCCGGAGAGGGACTCTTTACAAAGAAGAGTAGCGACAGGACAAGGGGCAATGGTTTGAAGCTGGTGGAGGGGAGATTTAGGTTAGATACTGGGAAGAAATTCTTTACAGTGAGGGTGGTGAGACACTGGAACAGGTTGCCCAGGGAAGTTGTGGATGCCCCATCCTTGGAGGGGTTCAAGGCCAGGCTGGATGGGACCTTGAGCAACCTGGTCTGGTGGGAGGTGTCCCTGCCCATGGCAGGGGGGTTGGAACTAGATGATCTTTGAGGTCCCTTCCAACCCAAACCAGTCTATGAGTCTATGATTCAAGCTGGAGGGGAACAGATTTAGACTGGAGATGAGGAGAGGGTTCTTCACTGGGAGGGTGGTGGAGCACTGGAACAGGTTGCCCAGGGAGGTCGTGGCTGCCCCATCACTGGAGGTGTTCAAGGCCAGGCTGGATGGGGCCTTGAGCAACCTGGTCTAGTGGGAGGTGTCCCTGCCCATGGCAGGGGGGTTGGAACTAGATGATCTTTAAGGTCCCTTCCAACCCAAACCAGTCTATGATCGTGTGCTCGTCCAGGCCGTGTGGAGCCTCCTTGGCTTCCTCCACTCCCTGTCCCCAGGGCTCCCCCGGGGTGTCCATCCCTGGAGATCTCTTGACCCTGACGGTGTCCCCGTTGCGCCGTGGCGCTCGGAGCCCTGACCCCGCTGCTCTCTCTCTCTCACCCCACAGGTGCCCTATGCCCGCTCGGAGGCCCATCTGACGGAGCTGCTGGAGCGGGTGTGCGAAAAGATGAAGGAATACGGGGAAAAAACGGATCCCTCCACACACCGGAAAACTTACGTCCGGGTCATCTCCCACGACGGGACCAAGATGGACCTTTCCGGGGTCAAAATTGATGGAGATGTCACTTCCAGCCTCAAGTTTGCGGTGCGTGCGGAGACTGGGAGGTGGTGGGTGGTGGGACCCTCTGCGTGGGGCAGCCCAGGCCCTTCGAGGGATGAGCTGGTCCCACCAGCAGCTTCTCCTGGTCCCACCAGCAGCTTCCCCTGGTCCCACCAGCAGCTTTTCCTGGTCTTTCCTGGGGCTGGAGAGGAGGATGCTGCTCCCGGGCTGGGCTGAGGGGGGGCTGCAGGGGGGGGCTCTCGTTGTCCCCTGTCCCCCAGGGTCACCAGTTGACCCAGGGTGGGCTCCTGTTGCAGTGTGAGAGCATCGCTGAGGAGTATGAGGATGAACTCATCGAATTCCTGTCTCACGAAGCCGACAACGTCAAGGACCGGCTCTGCAGCAAGCGCACGGGTGAGCGGGGCCGGGTTGGCCCGGGGAGGGGACCCTCCTGCCACCCCCGGGGGGGACGTACCTCCTCCGTCAGCTCCCGGGATGGGAGGAGCCACGAGTCCTCCCCAAAATCTCAACTCAGCACTGGTGAGGCCACAGCTCGAGTGTTGTGTCCAGTTTTGGGCACCTCAGTCCAAGAGAGATCTGGAGGTGCTGGAGCGAGTGCAGAGGAGGGCAACGAAGCTGGTGAGGGGGCTGGAAAACAAATCCTGAGGGAGTTGGGACTGTTTAATATGAGGAAGAGGAGGCTGAGGGGAGACCTCATCACTCTCTACAACTCCTTGAAAGGACACTGGAGAGAGGTTGGTGCTGGGCTCTTCTCACAGGTAACAGGACAAGAGGAAATGGCCTCAAGTTGCACCAGGGGAGGTTCAGGCTGGATATTAGGAACAATTTTTTCCCTGAAAGGGTTCTCAGCCCTTGGAATGGGCTGCCCAGGGAGGGGGTTGAGGCCCCATCCCTGGAGGTGTTCAAAAGCCGGGTTGATGTGGTGCTGGGAGGTCTGGTTTAGTGATGATGCTCCTTGTTTGTTGTGGGGGTGTCTATTTTTGTCAAAATGAGGTTGAGGGTTGGACAAGATGATCTTGAAGGTCCCTTCCAACCTAGAAGATTCTGTGATTCTGTAATTAACAATAGAACGAGAGGGAACGGCTTCAAGCTCCAACAGGGGAGGTTTAGATTGAACATTAGGAAGGAATTTTTCACCCAAAGAGTGGTCGGGCGTTGGAACAGGCTGCCCAGGGAGGGGGTGGAGTCCCCATCCCTGGCTGTGTTGAAGGGCCGTTTAGATGCAGTGCTGAGGGACATGGTGTAGGGGAGGACTTTGTAGAGTAGGGGAGATGGTTGGACTCGATGATCCCAAGGGTCTCTT